CAGCTTCAGCATGATGGACATTTCTCCTGACTATGTATGATTGTCATCATTAAATATACTGCACTGTGTCTACAAACATCATCAAACGCTTAAAATCCTCACCTGACAATCTTCAGGCAACTTTTTTTGTTCACATTCTCCTTCCGTGGTTTCTCTTTCTTCTCTTTCATTCTCTGGTGACAAAACAGTACGTAGTTCCTGCCGTTATTGTTGGCCCAGAATGTCCCTTGTGGAGTCTCATACCGTAGACAAAAGTCAACTCTGGCTCCCTGCTCCCCAAACGGAGGCACTAAGGTGAGCTTAAATGAAAAAAGGTCCATCAGACTGTAACTGGAACCGGGCATGTACTCTGCCAAGAGGTCAAAGTGGCTGGACCAGGTGTCCAAAGTGGCTCGGACATATACCGACTTAGTGAAGGAGATGTTGAGGACACGGATCACTCCTTTCAGTATTGTGGTCCCTGGAATTAACTCGATAGTCTCCAATTCCACTTTCTGCTCCTGCACTTTGACGAACAGCTCTGCCGTAGGCAACGGAAGGGAGAAAGTGAGAGGAGACAGGAAGTACTCCTCTGCAACTTTACCTAGAACTTCAGAAGGGTCACATACTGGCAGCTTGGGTAAATCCCAAGTTTCAAACTTCTTCACTTGCACCAAACTGAGGCCTTTAGCGTCTGCAAAGGACACTCTCCTGGAGCCCGGCAGAGGCGGCTCCGGCTCGAAATCCTCGTCACTTGTAGAGCTCTTTCTCCGGGGGAGAGGGGAAGATTTGGGCCTGATGCCGATCACCACCTCACACTCGTCTTCATCCACGTCCAAGGAGCTGAGGCCTGGCACTCCTAAGAAGTTACAGGCCTCAGAAGCTTTCGGTTGTCCCACAAACTCCATGGGGCTCTCGGTGGGAGAGTTAGCGGGAAGTGAACTGCAGTGCTTCTGCTGCTGGCAACTGACATTCAACATGCTCCGACTTCACAGATGGAGTCGAGTTACAGATGACATTGTTGCAAGGGCCAACACTATAAATAGGCCAGAAGGGACTTAAACTATGTACAGTAGTCTAAGCTCAGGAGGAGAAAATATCATCCTCTTTCCTCTGAGAGGCAGAGTTTGTGTGATATAATCTACAATATAGACTGATAACTTCTTCTTACTACAAAACTGTTTTCACATCTTAGAGTTGTGGACATTGTTCTTAAGTAACTGTATTTATTGCTCCCCAGAGTGTTGTAATGCTATTTGTATAACAAGCATGAGATTTACCATGGTAGCTATGGGTTGCTTTTGGCCCACAGTGGGTCACATGAGGTCCAAAACAGAACATATGTACTTCACATAGTGTTCAGGCCTCCGAAATAATTCCCACTGACCAGTCGCTGACTCTCTGATGGTGCAACTGTGAACTCCTGATAATATGTAAGAAACAACCATTCCACAGACGCTCATTCTTTTATCTGCTTATCCCATATCGAGATTTATCTGTGGATACCAGAACTACAAAGTTTACAGTTATGCATTGTGTTTGTACTACTTCCTGTGTTTATCTCGCAGCTGTGACAAAGTGGCATGTCCAACCCGAGCCACGAGCAAAACGGTTAATCCTTAATCTCACTGAGCAAATAAAATACATATTTTAACAGTGAGTAAGAGTGTTGAGTCTTAACAGAGGAATGGTGAACCCCCTCCTGAACTGGATATGAACAGTATAAAAGCATGTAAAGGCTGTCTCGGAGATAAAAGTTTTGTCCAACAGGAAAGAAGCAAACTGTCAGAGGATGTGGGATCTGATGCAAACAGGATACTTCAGATTTCAATGCAAGGACTTGGAAGTGAAATAAACAATGAACACAGAGGGAGGAAGAACAACGCAACATCTCACAGAGACTTCATACGTGAAAGAAGAAAAAGCAGGATGTGACTTCATGAATGCATCTACGACAGGAGAGAGCAGCAGAGAATTTATAGGGACAGAAGTGGCTGCAACCACGGCAGACGCTGTCAGCACCTATGAGAGCATCCTCACCAGCCCAGCTCATCCACCTGACAACATGAGCTCCTCAGACAATCCCTCCTCTGAGGCCACACAGCTCTTCTCAAAGCCTTCACTCTCTTACATTGCCCTGATCGCCAAAGTCCTCCTCTCCGCCCCCTCCCAGAAACTCAACCTGGCGTCTATCTACAGAGCCATGGAGGAGCAGTTTCCCTACCTCAGGAGCCGGGGTCCGGGCTGGAGGAACAGCGTCCGGCACAACTTGTCCGTGAACGACTGCTTTGTGAAGGTGAGCCGCTGCGAGGACGGCCGGGGCCATTACTGGGGCGTCCACCAAGCTCACCTGAGAGACTTCCAGCAGGGGAACTTCAGGCAGTACAAGAAGAGCAGGGGGAGGAGGGAGAGGGGGCGATGTGACAAAGTGGAAGAGTGTCTGGTTTGGATGGAGACCAGCTGCTTCCTGGGAAGCTTCTATGAGAACAGATGTTTGGGTTGTGTGGAGCCACAATGCCCTCTGCAGGAACCAAGGAGACATCAGATGAGTTACTGGGACTGGACGCAACTGTGCTATCAGCCTTGGAGCATCAGTGCGGGTTGGGTAAAACCCCCAAGCTGCATGAGACATTACTATTTTCCCGAGAGGCTGCCTAACTCATATGGCAGGGCTGCAGCTGGGAGAGGGCACTACGTTCAACCCATGACCTCCAGACTGCACTGCTGGGAGATGAACGACCCAGCTCTGAAAGGCATGAGAGAGTCACATGACAGCAGGTTCATGACTCCCCCAGGGCAAGAACTCAGGTTTCCTGGCTGCTGGTGTACATCTCCAGTCATCAGAGAGTTGATAAAACCTTTTCCTTACAAAGTCAACTTTTAATTTTGCCCCTGAGCTGTCTTAAAGCAGTATAATGAAAGAAGAACAAAGTGGACACTGTATGGAAGGGTGTTTCCTGTTTCTAAATTGACAGAGAGAAATTCACATGTCACATGATAGTGGAACCATCTTATGGTGATCACGTCTGTCCAGGGCAAATTGATCACTATCAGCAGATCGTAAGTGCTATATCGTAGGCAACTGGACTTGCTTGCGTTTCTTGAAGACGTTTCGCCTCTTATCCAAGAAGCTTCTTCAGTTCTACAATATAGCACTACCATGACCTGGATGACTGAGAATCTTCACCGACAAACTATCAGCAGATGATTATCATACCAATTTTTCTTCTTTGTCATGCACATTACCATCTAACTGTAATTTTTATGTCTGTTACAATGCTTCATTTTCTCTCTCTTTATCAGCGGCCATGGCTGTGTCTTGTTGTTTCAGTAGACTACACAAGGGATCATGAGGAACAAAAAGTCACCGCTGCATCACGTCGGCTCATTTTGAGCAGTTTGTAATGAGCTTTGAGGACACTACATTTTTCATTGTGAGAAAATGACTTAACTTTCCAGCCAAAGTATCATGGCAGTTAGGTGGAAAAAACAGAATTACTGTAGTATGTTGTCATGTATGAGAAGACCCAAAATGAACATTGTAAGTGGACTACTTGATTACAATAAGCCAGTTATCTAAACAGCATTTGTATAGGAATGATTCTGTCCCAAGCTTTTTGATCCATATCAGCAGTTGATCACTATAAGCAGGCTCCACTGCCAATAAAAACTGGAAGGCAGGTAAATACTAATCCAGTAGGTGGCAGAAAGTTACCTTGGTAATATCGACAATTCAATCATTAATTGCTCCGTCCTGCTTTGACATGTTTTGAGGTGAGATTTGGCCTCTCTGCTCTGCTATCACTCATTGAAATGCATCATATCTAAATGTGCAGCAATAATCTACATTTATATGGTGTAAACAGCTTCATCTTGTTGTGTAGATTTATAGCTATGCCCATGACAAGGGATAAACATGTAACATTGTGTGCTTGTGTGTAAAAATATTAAAGAATGTATTCAGGGTCTTTGTTCTTTACCTTGATATCCCTCTCATCTCTCCAAAGTAGAATAGCTCCTGATGTTACAACAGCCTGGCCTTTGGTCTTCATCATCCTCCTTTATTATTCACTTGCAGTCTGTAAAACAAATTTGGCAATAAAGTGCTGACATTACAAAAAACACTGAAGGGGTGTGATAAAGGTGCTTTAAAGTAGAGAAGAAAGAAAAAGGAGAGGAAAGGAAAGGAAAGGAAAGGAAAGGAAAGGACACAAATGTTGAACAAAATGCTTAAAAACATGCAGACATGACTGTGCAGAAATGTCCTCCACAAAGTTTAGAGTCACTTCAGATATTATTTTCCAGTGTAGCTGTGTTGATGTTTTACACTCTAGGGTACACTGCATTTATCAACAGCCAAAATTAAAAACCCTTTTATTTGTTTTTTAACAGATGCACTGATATGCTATTTGAACAAAAGTGCCGACAATACTGTAAATAGCTCTTTGATAACAGTTTGACAGTTGTGTAGCTGCAGAGCTCTTTTTGCTGATGATACTGCATATCTAAATAAAGTCACAGACAACTATACTTGTCTTTTCTCAACGCGGAGTCTTTGTTTTAATCATGAAAGACAATAAATTATGCTTGTTTTGAGGCATTTTTTTTTTCATTGGGTTGTGTATGTCTATGAATATCAACAAAGAAAAGCAGCGCCTGCAAAAATTGATTCACACTGCAAAATAAATGATGGAAAAGCACATGCACTATGTTACACATTATATTTTGTGATATGATTGTAATGTAGATGTAATATTTATTGACTAATGTAAAATGTAGAGGACTTCTTTTTTCACAAATGCTGAAGAGAAATCATCATTACAAATGTGGAGACACTCACCGGGTAAGCACTGTTAGAGTAAACATGATCTGTAGCTCCAGCTGATTTTCCTGTTCCTCACATGCCAGCAATCAACTGCTGTTCTCACTGTCTAAACCACTGGCTGACACTGGGACTCCTCCCCCTCAGGTAGACACACAACTCTATCAGTTCTCTCCCATCCTCACTCCAAACTGCATGACTTCAAGTCTGAGACATCAACTCTGCCTGGCTGCTCCGAATTCGACTATTCACCTTAACGGTATGTAGCTTTAATACAATTCTTACAGACACGGAGGTGTCAGGGAGCTTTGATTTTGAGTTTACTTCCTGTATATTTTAGGAGTTATATGTAAAGTTAAACTCCTGTTTGTGCTCAGTTGTAGAGGTAATAGGTTGTATTTTACAGCTAGTTTCTTCTTCATGCACTGCAGGGATAAGTTTGAATGTACTAAAAAGTTGGATTTGAAAAACTTTATGCAAGCTTTCCTGGATCTTCATGCCCTGCCAATAAGATACGGATACATTTACTGACTTAATTCTGGGTCAGATAACAGGGATTTGAGCAGTGATAATCTGAAATTATAAAAGTGGTGCTGTGCAATAACTGTTACATGCATGTCTAATTGTCGATATCATGTAAAAAAAACTTAATATGTTAGTTTGCTGAAGGGATTTTGTGTATGAGGTGTGGATGATGTTAATGCCCAGAAATCTGGATTTTTTTCTGTGTGAATTAAATATGCTGACATGCCTACCGGTACACTTTTTCTGCTGTTTCCACCTACGTACAATAAAATTCTTACTTGGAAACCACAGATTTATTAACTTTATCGTGTCTGTGGTTCTGTAAATAGCATTTGAGAATTGCATTGTTTCTTTAAGTTGTGCAAAGGAATGTCAGCACCTCAATAAACATGCCCATCGTCTTTGGTATTTTTTTTCTTGCCACGTCTTTAACGCAAAGCCACACAAAGTCATAATTTAGCAATGAAGCTAAACTGTACCTACAGCGTTTGAGTGTTTTATCTAATTTAGTGTTGCCTGCTTTCTTTTAGGACCTCAGCTGGGATGCCTGAGTCTCCTCTCAGTCCCACAGCAGCCCGTCAAACCCCAGCCAGCAGCCTCCTCAGCCACACAGACGTCGGTGCAGGAGGGAGAGTAGCTAATGGGGAATCCTGCAGTGGAGTGAGTGGTGAAAACTGGCAGAGTCTCCACCATAAACAGGTATCTTCATCCTCCTCAATATCCCCCTCGTCCTCCTCTTCTTCTGCCGTCTCTTCTTCCTCCTCTTCATAAGAACAGTCTTAGCAAACAGATGTCAGGAGAAATACCAGCTCCATATTGGACGTCCTCTGACAGGACACCAAAACCCAGTGACTGCAGCTCTGTTGACAGTGGCCTGGATTTCATATGAGATCTGATCCGGGTTGGGAGTTGACACGCAGAACTGTGTTTGTCCTTCATTATTAGTTTGTGAGCCAGAGCCAGGGAGGAATAATTGTCCACAGACCTAGGCCAAACAGATGCAAGTGAAAGGCAAATAAGCATGACCCAACATAATTTTATGGTTGTCTGTTGTGATTCCATCTCTGCGAATGTTAATCTAGGGGATCAATAAAACAACCGAGATAATGAATGTCTGGTCGCCACCATTTCCTCAGTTTGTTCTCTCATCTTGTCAATTTTGCTCTGCTCTTTTCTCTTAATTCACTTTCTAAACCTGTGCAAGGCACCCAACATGTGACCCTACATTATTTTAACAATATTTTTGTTTTTCTGTTTGTAATCTTTAGCAAATATGACTATAGTGACAATGTCATAACGCCACTGCTGCAACACTGCCTGTCTGCCTGAGTGATTCCAGTCTTCAAAACATAATAATGGCTTGTGATATAAAAGGTTTTTCATCTGGCAAACTGCAAATTTCACAAATGAAGATTATGTACAGTGAACACTAGTTTTCTCTCATGACAAAAATGAGGGACTTTCTTTTTCTCACTGTAGCATCCAATCCACACACCACACATGGTTACCCAGTGATTTCTAAAGCGTGATAATAAAGCCAGCTGTATGTCAGTGTCTTCTTTTAAACTACATACACAAGTGTGACATTAGGGCTGCAGTTGTTTCAATCATCAATTAATCTACCCAGTATTTTTTTACCATTAACTTTTTAATTAATACACTGTCAGAAAATCAAGATTTCCCAGATGCCAGAGTGAGCTTTTTAATGTGCTTGTTTTGCCTGACAAATGTTGGAGAATTTAAGGGGCATGTGGTGGAGTACGGACATTATAACCTGTACATTTTTACACACATAGGTGATTTTTATTAGACACACTAGGTTTATTGGCTGGTGCATCCACTGTAAGTACCAGCCGCGACAACGTCAAGACAGCTGGTATTGTTTTGCCTCTGTAAGTCTGTGTGTGCCTGTCATCATGGCACAATGTGGTCCCGGTGACACCTATTGTAGTGAGAACTACCACAGAGAAAGTTTCAGGTATTTGCCATGTGTTTATATGTCTGTCTGTCTTTGTCTCTGTATGTGAAAAAAAAAATTCACTGCCTTAACGTCACTGCAAGATGCAGTAACAAAATGTGGCCCACATTCGTTGTAAGCTGCAGAATGCAGTATTTTTACGATCAATCAATTAATTATTTAGCACTTAACTGTCAGAAAATCACAATTTCCAGATCCCAAGGTGACCTCTTTAAACTGCTTGTTCTGTATCACTTAAATAGTTGGAGAATTTCAGAGGTAGCTATATGGTTGGATAAGGGCATCAAGTTGAGTTGGGGTACCCTCCCTGTGCATTTTTACCCACAGAGGTGATTCTTATAAGACACACTAGGATTACTGGCTGGTGCATCCACTGTAATGTTAATGTGTTAGGTGTTAAGAGTTTAGTTAGCTCAGATGAGAGCAGTAAGTTTTGTAAATTTTGGCAAAGCCTTTAAAGAACCTATTTTTGTGTGTTTAAATACTGCAAACAGTTACATAATTGCTGAACATTTTCTGCTTATTCCAACACTACTTTGTCTGCCCTATTCATTTGTTCTAATGTGTTATTGTCTCTGGTTTAGTCCAAAACAGACATTCAATTTGAACAGATGTAGGATTAAAAAAGCAAATCCCAACATTTACGAGGCTGTAAATGCCTAAAAACTTGTCTTAAAGACTTAAAAATTGTCACTTAAACGACCAGTTGATAAATAACACCAAATAATACATGCCAACAAGCAATGCAGATCATGATACCTGCCGAGCCAAAGTGTAAATTCTTCATCTGATTTCCACTGTTTTGAACTTTCTACTTATCTTATCAGTCTGGTTGAATCACAGGAGGTATTATCTCAAAGGACTGACGACAACAATGACAAACTTAAGGTCCCTAATGTGTTCCTTTTTCATTACATCCTGCAAGCCACTAAGATATTACTCCAATATAGACACTGAGCTTCTCTGAAACCTATGAAGAACATCCGTCACAACCCTTACACGTCTGTGTACAGCAACTGACATTTTAAACGTAGAACAAAAGATATATTGTTTAAACAATAAACTATATTTTCCCCAACAATCAATTGGCAGCACCAGTATATTTTTTTTGCATTGTTTGTAATACAGCATGTTGAATTTGTACATTGCTTTTGTTGTTTCGTAATGCATTCATGGCAATTGCTGTTGCCTGTGTTTGAATACAAAAGGAGACAATCACTGTGTTATTTGTCACAAAATCAGTAACAGTGCAGATCAGTTATTATTCAGTGAGTGTTTGCCTTGATTAATACCCATACACTTCTATTAGGAGTCACAACAAGCATGTAATTGTGTTGCTAATTAACTGGTCATCCCATCTCCCATCTCATTTAGGGTCAATGACACAATCCGGCATGATGATGTTCACAAAAGGTTGACAGCGCTGTTTTGTAATTGGATTGGAAAGATTCCCAATTCGATGGTTATTACTGTTTAACACCTGACACTTGCCTTCTGTCTTACTCACTCGTCCTTCTGCCTTCGTTGTGTAGACTGTGGTCCTCTATCATTTTATCCTTTCTCCTTCTTCTTGCAGGTGTTTCTGGCCATGATGGCTCCTCAGCAGATGCAGCAGCTCCTGTCCCCAAACCAGCTGCAGGCCCTGATCCACCAGAAGCAACAAGCCCTTCTGCTTCAGCAGGTATTTATACAACACTTATACTAATATAGGCACTACTACTACAACTACTACTACTACTAATAATAATAAATGTATTTATAGAGCACTTTACATCAAAGTGCTGTACAGGTGAATTTAGTAAAAACATGCACAGCACTGGTAAAAACACAAACACAATTTAAAACAGGACACCATAAAAAAAAATTAAAAAAAAAAAAAAAAGCAAGCTACCTAAGACTCAATACGCAACAATAAACAAGTGGGTCTTAAGCTTTGCTTTAAAGACCTCAATCAAGCAAGCCTGTTTAATTTCAAGAGGCAGGTTGTTCCATAGTGTCGGTGTCAGTAAGAAAAAGCCCGCTCACCGAAGGTCTTCTTTTTGACCTTTGGGACACACAGACGACCACTACCCTGAGAGCGAAGAGACTGTATGGGCAAATAAAAATGAGTTCTGTTCTGTCAGGTAAGAAGGTGCCAGACCATTTAAAATTTTATATGTCAATAACAGCACCTTAAAATCAGCTCTAACCTGGACAGGTAGTCAATGAAGAGAGGCCAGCATGGGAGTTATATGGTCATATCTAGATGATCCAGTCAGAATACGAGCTGCCGCATTCTGCACCATCTGTAGATCATAAAAACTATTCTTAGGCAACCCTGATTAAATAACATTACAATAATCCAGCCTAGATGTCACAAAAGCATGGATAGGGGTCTCAGCATCTTTCAATGAGAGGACAGATCTAACTTTCGCAATTTTTCTGAGGTGAAAAAGGCTACCTGTCACCTGCTTTACATGCAGGTCAAATGAAAGGGTCTGATCAAAGACCACACCAAGATTACTTACCCTGTCCTTGCAATGAATGACGCAATCATCAAGAGACAGAGTAAAGTCATCAAACTGGTGGCTTAATTTTGCTGGACAAATAGCTAACATCTCAGTCTTAGCTGGGTTAAGTAGCAGAAAGCTAGTTGATAGCCAGGTCCTCACAACAGCCAAACAGGATGTAAGTTTGTCCGAATCAGACCCATTCCCTGCAACAACAGGCATAAATTTGCAGGTCATCGGCGTAGCAATGAAACTGAATCCCAAAAGAGCGCATGATCTGACTTAGTGGTGCCAAGTACAGTGAAAACAACAGTGGACCTAGGACGGAGCCCTGAGGGACCCTGTGCCTAACAGGACAAGAATCAGAAGACATGTTATTGTAAAAAACACATTGAGATCTTTCTGACAGGTAAGATCTTAACCATTTGAGCACCTGACCAGATGCCAAAATAATTTTCAAGTCTGTCCAAAAGTATACAATGATCCACTGTGTTGAATGCAGTGCTGAGGTCCAACATCAAGAGAACAGATGTTGAATCTGAGTCTATGGCTAGTAATAGGTCATTTACAACTCTTGTAAGTGCTGTTTCTGTAGAATGATTTGGGTGGAAAGCAGACTGTAGTGGCTCAAATAAATCATTTAGTGACAGAAATTTTAAAAGTTGGATTGAGACCACTTTCTCAAAGAAAGGCCAAACTCGACACACGCCTGTAGTTTACCAGAGAGTCTGGATCTAAATTTGTTTTTTTCAATAAGGGTTTAACCACAGCAGTCTTAAAACATACTGGAAAGACCCCACTGAAGAGCGAAAAATTAAGGATAGCTAAAACATAGAATCCTAATGTTGACCATAGCCCCATTAACAGCCCATGCTGGCAAAGAGTCCAAAGAGCAGGTAGTACTTTGCGCAGCCATAACAACCTTAGTGAGATCAGCCAAAGCGATAGACTCAAACTCAAAAAAACCCTTCTCCTACAAAACTAGGCATAGTAGCTATCAAGGTAAGATAATAAATTAGCTCTAGCTTGTAAGCTAGCTAGTTTGTCTTAGCTTTCACATTAGCTCATATCAGCTAATAAATTAGCTTGGTTTGCTAAGCTAAAGTAATTGGTCAGTTATGGTAAGCTAATTTTCGGCTAAGACAAAAGAGACAAAAGAGCTCATTTAATAAAACACTATTGAGATAACTTATAGCTAAAGTGGTCTGCTAAGGTAAACTAAGTTCAGTTCAAATAGGCTAATTGTATGCTAGGACAACTAGCTAGCTAACACAAACATACAAAGATGTGGGAACTGCACATTGGTTCGACAGCCCATTGTTCCGACCATATTAAACTCATTGTTCCGAAGTCCATTCCGAAATCATCATGATGTCCTGTGGTTAAGATCTGGTTAGGTTTAGGCACAAAAACAACTTGGTTAGGGTCAGGAAAAGATCATGGTGTGGGTTAAAATGAAAAAGAAAGTGAAAACACATAAGCCGTGAGCCTGCGCTGCCTCAAGCCGGTCTCGGTGCACCATACGCCTGCCGCGAGCCGTTCAGCACCGCGGACTGTCGGACTAATGGGATGTCGCACCAATGGGCTGTCGAACCAATGACATGGACCCCAAAGATGTCTGGGGAAAATCTGCTAATTTTAGCCAGCTAAATTATAGCTGATCTAGTCAAAAACTGGTCAAAGCTAGAGCAAAATTTTCCCACAAAAAAAAAAAAAAAAAAAAAAACCCTCATCAACTTAGTTTCAAGTTACTTTGGTGATGTATTTTAAAAAATTAGCTAGTTAGCCTAGTTAGCATTAACCTTTCAAAGATAACTATACTAGCAAAGAATTTGGATTGGTACTAGCCTAAGCTAATTTGTTTGATCGTCTTCCTGGGCAAACTGCTCTGCTAAGGTATGCTAAGTATACAATACAGTGGTCAATTTAAAGTTGAAGCCAGTTGCTTAGCCTACCTGACCAAGTAAGTTCAACCACAGATCTGACGTTTGTTAAATAGTAATATTAATAAAGGTCGTACTCCATTTCGCTTCACTAGTTCCAGGGCTCTGCTTTTGTATTATTTCTGCCTCCGCAAAACTCCTAACTACCCTTGACTGAATTAAGTGTTAATAAACAAAACCCTCTTGTCATTCTTTCCAATTTTCTCGTAACTAAGAAATGTGTCAAAATTGTGCCTCACATCTCACATTGGCTCATTGTTTGTCATGATAGTTGTCAATAAAATACATGTGTCAAACCTCAATGAATCCAGAAATATTTTGTGTTGGTAATTTGTAATTCAAGATTTTCAAGATTTCAAGATATATTCTACTTATTTTACTGCAATATTTTTGAGTGTGTTAATGTCTATATAATAATGGTGCTTTACTATTTTCCTAGCAACATCTGAAAGAGTTTTACAAGAAGCAACAACAACAGATTCACCTGCAGCTGCTTCAACAAAAGCCCAGCAAGAAAGTTAAAGAGGTCAGTAGTTATTTGTGGTCTGTTTTTTAAATTCTATTTATTATTTCTTTAAGAGTGGTTTTGCACCAACGTCTATGTACACATTTTGGCATAAAAAATCTTTTAAGTGAGATTAATTAAATGTAACTGATTAAAAAAAAAAATACTGGTGCAAGTTAAGTGACACAAATGATGAAAATATTGCTAATATGATGGATGGCAGAAGGTAGGAGTTCCAACAAAAATATCCAGTGAAAAGAGAACATGTTTGTGTGCTTTGTCACTTACGTTAAGGATTTGAGAACAATATTTGGCCCAAGTGTAGTAGTTGTTGAAGGACGCCTTTAGCAATGCAGTATATGCCACTGATTTTATCTCAGGATCAATACCTGGACACCTACAAGCAAGTGTGAGCAGAGCTTCACATGAATGCTACCTCACATTTCTGTGAAAATTCTCTCTCTCTTTCCTCCAGCTCCCTGCACAGCAGCTTGTGTTCCAGCAGCTCCTCCAGCTCCAGCAGCAACAGCAGCAGCTCCTCCGGGTGCAGAGACCGGTCCTGTCCTCTCCTGCCCCCTCTCCAGGTCATTATGTTTCATCTCCCTCAGTAGCAGTGTCTGTTGAAAGCAATGGTGATGTCAGCTGATTCATTTCCAAAGTATTTTGTATTCCAATTTTCTACAGTAAGGTTACTTTAGCATGTTGTATCATATCACAAGGTCACATAAGTAGACAAACACTGACAAGCGTCTGATACAGTTTTGTCACCAAGACCTCCACACAGGGAGATTTGTTTCTCCTTGATTTTATGTTCTGTTACATAACCACACTGAGTTTAAAATAAACAATGATGAAAGTGAAACTTAAAAGTAGAAAATTCATCCTTAGTCATAATTTTGGCTGTGATAATTATTTCTGGATTACTGTGAAGAGGTGACATAAGGTCATGAGAGAGAGTTGCTCTCCTTGTTTCTGCCCTCAAGCTTTGAGGTGGGAATAAGTAAAAGTCACTGCAGAGCACAGATTTAAAAGGTGCAGATGTAATCAGCAGAAAAAAACAAACCATAACTATTAAGTAAACATAAATCGGGAAAAAAAGTCAGCTGTCTGTAATATATTAGGGACAGATAATAAGCCCCTTTGTTTTTGCAGTTTCCTTAACCAGCATGTAAAAGAAAATATTCAGATTTAGAAATTTACAACATGCTGTATCTCTCTTTCTTTATGTTGTAGCTGGTTTGAGCCCTGCCGAGATGCAGCAGGTATGGAAAGAGCTCGCAAACGGACTAACTGAAGATAAAACAACATTGAAGGGCAATCAGGACTCCTCTGCCAACAACATTATGTCAACAAAAGTCACAGGGAGGCAGAGCAGTGACCAGCAGTCTCCTTCTCCTCGCAGGGCAGAATGGTACGATCTGTCTGTTCATGCTGTAAACTGATTGTGAGAACTGATACTGCTTCTTTCTAAACATCAAAGACTCGTCATCTGTAGACATTTTCTTTCTCTCAAGGTACGGGTGAGGAGCTGTTTTGCTTTCACAGCGAGACTTCACTTTTAATTCCCCCTGGGATGATATATTTTGTCTTGTTTGTTTGCTTTGTGTTCCGCCACCTGAAGTGGTTCAGCAAAAAGAAAAAGTTTACATGACTACACGTCCCAAATCAAAAGTAAATAGTTTTCCATTTGTTTTTCAGTGCTCTCCTCCACCTCTCTCTGTCATTTTCTGCCACCTGAAAAGAAAAGAAAAACACGCTTGTATCTGTTTTATTGTTGCTTTGCTCCTGTTTTGATGCTGTTGTCTGCCTGCTGTGGTTTTTTAATCATGACAATACTTTCACTCCAGTGCTGTCAAAGCTGATCGCGCTGCCACACACGCTCTCTACGGTCACGGTGTGTGTAATTGGCCTGGATGTGAGTCGGTGTGTGAAAACTTCAGCCAGTTCATCAAGTAGGTTTTAACTCCATCCTAATCCATTTAACTCTTTGTGTCTTTGCACTTTTCTGATTATGATTTCAAGAAGTTCTCCTGTGAAAATATTTTCAGTATCAAATACTCCAAGGAGATTTGAAATGTTGGTAGTCTGAGTTTTGTCATTACATTTAGGTGACAGAGCTATGCATCCATTTTCCTGAGACATAATACCAGTTTGCAAGGTTACAACTGAAATTCAAGGGAGACATAAATTACATATCTCCTTGCTCATTTTGTACAACATAAGAAAAATATGACCACTTATTTGTTAATGAAAATATAAAACATAGAAAGCAATAATGATCAAATGTATAACTGATAACACTTTTTAACTGAATTAGCAAGGTCAAAGTTATTTCGTATTTCGTATTATTTATTTGCACAGTATTAAAACAATTGGTTTTAAAAACAACAACAACAACAACAACAAAAAATCGGTTGTGCAGGTGAGATGAAAAACTCCTTAAAAGGTTATAAGTTATCTCACCTAAATATTCAATAAAACAAAAAGACAAAGATTTTAAATTGCCTTTAAAATAATCAATAAGATACAATATAGTACCAAAAATCGAAATATAAAGTAGAAAAGAAACATAAAGTAGGCCACCTAATAAAGTCCCTAATCAAGGTCAAAGTTATTCCCAGCTTCCACCTTTGTTTAGTGAGAAAAGAAGGTAACCCAAATGCCAGAAAAAATGTGGACATTGTACATTTCTGCAAATCCCAGATATGCTACATTTACATGTGTAGTGGATACGTTGAAACTTTACGTTTCAACAACACTATGGTTAATGTGTGGTTACGTTTAGGCACAAAATAGTCTCTATATACAGACTCTACATTCAGTGAATGTAGAGTCTGTAGGAAAAGCCCAGAGATCTTGCTTCCGGAAGAAGAGCGGAAGAGCCCTGGTTTCCGGTTGTAGGCTGTTTGTAGTCCGCGTGATATTGACCAATCACGTTTGAGCCGGCTGCAGTTGTTGCCAGGTTAAACGGTCCGTGCGGTGAACTAACGAGGCGGAACATAATTTCACTGCAAACTCTGAATCCATCGCAATGGTTCACCATATTTACTTATATATAAATGGAAGTCGGAAACGGAGATTCGCCTCCTCCGCCCAAATCAAACCGGAATGCCAAAAAATCGGGGGTCTGCCCCCAGAGGCTGTATCACTGTCTGCCGGAAGTCAGACGCCGAATACAGCCGATGGGTTCCGAGAATGGGCACAAAACAACTTGGATATGGCTAGAAAATTATTAGGTTTTAGCTTCATTTATCCTGTGTTGGGGGCACGATCCGCTCTGGAAAAGCAGTGATGTCTCGGTGAAAAACAACCACTTTTCGTGGCACTATCCCCGCTGGAAAAACAGCAGCAGGTCGCTACAAAACACCAAAGTTTGGTGGCTAAAAAAGCCACAGGAAACACACCTTAATCTTCATCATCCGATGGCAGAGTCAGCTCATGTGCTACACCAGTTTAAATATGTGGATATGATGCGTATGAAACATGCAAATGTAACATATTTGTGGTTTGCAGAGAAAATCGTATTGAGAAGGAGTATTATTTTATCCAGATGGACAGAGGAGTATTTGAGACTGTGAAACATCTTTCACAAAAAGCTTAGGCTTATCTCAGTGACTTAAATGAACGAAAACAACAAAACAAACGTGTTAAAATAGCCATAGAAACTTCTGCAGCATAATCTACTTATCTGCTGTAGATGCATATGTTCAGTGTGTTTCAAACAATCTTCACTCTGCCAAGAAACAGGTTTAATTAATTAATTAATTTCTGCCCAAGTGTTTTCAATGAAGTTTCCATAAATGTTTCGATAGATTTTGACACAGTTTTGGGTCTCTGGGGAAGCCATTGTAGCTACTATCTTTGTAAGGTAGTAGAGTATTTGAAATTCAATAGACGGATATTCAGTGGAGTATACCTTTAACGCTCCTGTGTGTGTTTCAGGCATATAGGCAGTGAGCACACTCTGGATGACAGAAGTACAGCGCAGTGCAGAGTCCAGATGCAGGTGGTTCAGCAACTTGAGCTTCAGGTAGGAACAAGTTCTGCAAAGATGTCCAACAACAAAAGTTGGAACTGCTGCTTGGATGTGAGTTCTGAGTCCTGTGCATTATGGGTCAAACACAATAAGGTGGAACTTTGAGTTGGCACAGATGATTAGTTTTTACTGATTTAAAAAATGTCTCCCCTGATATTTATATATCTTGGGGTGTTAGTCTGAGTTGCTGTCAGAGTTTCCCCAAAATTTCTCCACCTAAACACCGTCTTGCTCGTGGTTATTATTCATTCAGTTCTTTCAACACTGCCTCCCTCCTGATGTTTGACACTGCAAATAGAAATGTACTTTGCAAAATGTGTTTGGGTCACAGCGCTCCATTTCAACAATGCTGTGTTTAGTGTGTGTCCACGCTGATGTCTTCCCTCTCCCCTCATCACCTCTAACAGCTCTGCAAAGAACGGGAGCGTCTGCGAGCAATGATGGCTCACCTGCATCTGCCATCTTTGGAGTCGCAGTCAATCTCTGCACCTGCGAGTCTTCAGTCCCCACAGTCTGATCCGGCTGTTGACCCACACGGTCTCCAGGTAGATAGTGTGCAGTAATAGCTGTGTGAACAACAGAGACGAAGCAAATGAGGTGTAAACTGTACGGCATTTTGGGGCTGTAAGCAAAACTCAAAATGTGTGGTGGAGAGTGAAAATAACATGTGGCTGCAACCTCATCTTCTGTAGCACTGATGAAGATACCACCAGCGTGTTGAACTGGTGAACTTTTATAGTTGGTTGAGTTGCAAAAATATGTTGGCATTTTCTAAGAAACAAAACATGGCTTAGGGGTACACCTGCAGAAGATGAGGGTCAGAAATATTTGAATCTGCCCAGAAAAATGATGGCAAATGTATTTCGTGGAAAAAGTTTCACCATTTTGCACCTTCTTACCATAACTCTCAAATGACTTTTCCTTTGTTGAGATCTCTGTACTGATTGAGTGTGACTCGCTGCATGATGTGAGTGCCTCTTTTCCTTTCGATGCTCAGCTGTTGGCACCAGATGGCTGCCGTTGTGTTTTCAGACAGCAGACATGCTCTCGTAACGTGGAAGCTAATCAGATGTTAATCTTGCAAATATTGCACCATAATCACAACACTCACCAAACAATTTCACCCTATAATTAACAATAATTGGCTTCCTTCTTCTTGCGATATTAGCAGAATCACCTCTGAGGAGGCGAATCCAATCGCTCTGTTACACTCTGTTAAAAATCTCCCGCTCTGTTTTGTTTCTCTGTCAGTCTTTCCATTTCACTTGTCCCTTTGTTAACTTGGATCATCTGCTTGTGTCGCTCTCAGCTCAGCTCAGTCGCCGCCACCAACAACAACCTGAGCCCGTCAGACTCGCCCCAAGTGTCCCCACAACCTCTGATCCCTGTCAGCGTTCCATTCCAGGGTGGTGAAGGAGAGTCGCCCACTCATACACCATGTGCTGGGGCCATAAGACGTCGCCATCACCCTTTGGTCTACTCGCTGTCTTCAGGTAAACTAAACACTGTAGTCACCTTTATGTTCATACAAAAAATAAATGCTTCATAGCACAATTTCTACTCCATCTTTCAATTACTACTGTATGTTTTGTCTTGTTTCAGAAAATGAATATGAGCTTTACAAGAACACCGATATCAGACCACCTTTCACCTATGCAACACTGATAAGACAGGTACAGTCTATGACTTGGAGGAGAAGTGATTTCTGTCTTTACTTAAAGCTGGGGTAAGCAAACACCAAATACCGCAGGCAAAATGCCCCCCCAGTGTGTGATTTTAGATAGCGTAGTGGAAGAAAAAGTAGCATGAAACAGTGTCAATGTCTAGTGTGACATATGTTGACGGCTCACCCTTTTTCCCCTTTAAGGGCAGTGGCCTTGTTAGTAACCTGTGAGGGTGTGACATGTGCTTTTTGTATGTGGAGGGAACCAGCTCTCTTGGGGTGTTATGGTGAAGACAGTGGGTGGCATAGAGTGATGACATCAGTAGAATTCAGTGTCTAGATGAGCTCAATCATTTACCATCATTGTTATATGGCAGTTGGTCTTGTCCTCTGCTCGGAGGGTAAGGAGTTCCCGGATCTCATTGTCTCCCCAATTTTCAGATATTTTTAGTTGCTGTACTTCTACTTTGAGTTAGCTGCTAACTGCTATCTGAATTTTAAATCTCTTGCTAGTGGGTTGTAGACATAACAAGTCGTCAGCCTCTCTTGCCGGCTTAAAGGCGAGACAATGCTGTCCCTCCACTCCACAATTGTTTCTTTTGTACAGAACTGCAAGCCAGCATAACGAGGCTCTAAATGGCTACATAATCTTAAACATGAGCTAGTATTGGTAGCCTATTAGCAAACTACTAGCTACATTTTCTGTCCATCTCTTTTCCAATATTGGCACGATTTATTTCATTTATGGTCAGATTCTCTTTTAGTCTCTGTTTACGATAAGTCTGTCTCCTTTTGTTTTGGTTGCTTTGTGGTGTAGACAGACAATAGCAAATTTCTCTGCAGGATTTTCCGCCAATGAATCGGGCTTTCACCATCTGAAGGCACGTGCACACGCATCTGCTTTTGTGTAACAGCCAGTAGCAGCAACCTCTTTCTGAAATGACCTGTGATTGGAATAGGTCTCCCGTCACGTCCTAGATTTTGTAAAGCTTGTAAACAGAGCCAAGAGCAGGCACAGAAATCTAGTTTTCTCTCAGTCTGCTTGATTTACAATATGATCAGAGTTTAATATGGTCTATTCAGCCAGTGACGGAAAGAAAAAACATTTAACTTTAACTTTAACTTTAACAAAAAACTTTAACTTTAAACATTGTCCAGGTGTAATATGTTTACATTATCTAAATCCCTTCAGAGACTAATTGCATAATTTGCAATTTAGATGAATCCAGATGTTTTCTCCTTTGAGGTTCTTAATCACTGTTTTCCTTTTTTAAAATATTGTTTTATTTTATTTATTTATATTTGTGCTGGGCCCTTTAATGTGAACAATATCATATAAGAGACCTTTCTTGCTGATAAACAACCTTTCTATGTTCACGTTACATACTGAATCACCTGTCAGGGCTTTAATTCAATCCTTTAATGTGCTACAGTTATTTATTTCCCCTCCATCTACAGGCTATTATGGAAACATCGGACATGCAACTAACACTCAACGAGATATACAACTGGTTCACACGGACGTTTGCTTATTTCAGGCGCAACGCTGCCACTTGGAAGGTATCGCACCTCGACATAATTAACTGTGTGATCCCAGTGTGTGTCATACCTGATTTATGCAGCATGCGCTCAGTAATATCTCCTTCACTCTGATTTTCTCTGGATCAGAACGCAGTGCGCCACAACCTGAGCCTGCACAAGTGTTTTGTGCGTGTGGAGAATGTGAAAGGCGCAGTGTGGACGGTGGATGAGGTGGAGTACCAGAGGAGGAGATCCCAGAAGATCACAGGGTACGGTAGATGACTTCCTGTTTATCACAGCATCTGCATATATTTCAGGTCAAAATATAATGATACATAAGACATTTCTTTATTCATTCAAAACAATAATTTTATTAGCAAAAAGTACAGAAGCAAAGATACTTAAGGGTCTCCTGTCTAAGCTTCAATATTCATGTAGAAAAATTAAAAAACCTTTCTTCTTCCTTATGGTATCACCTAATATTTAGTGGTGTCGGCTATTTAACATGCTCATAAATCAGTGCAAATGGCTAATGGTGTGAGATTTAAAGCACAGCATAAATGCAGAATAAAAAAACAGACAATTTTCAATTTTTATATTTTCCCTTTAAAAAAATGTAATGCATTTTGAGACAATTTTTAGACCTTAAAGAGGACCTATTACGCTTTCCTTATTTTCTGTCATATATACAATGTTGCAGTGATGGATGTTTAAGCAATATCACACAAGAGGGAATGATGTTGTACTGTTTATCGTCACAGCTGTGATTCGGTCATAGGAAGACAATTAAGTAAAGTAATGGTTGTATTTATATTTATAACACCTGTGAGCGGAGTGATTTTACTGTTACATGCCCCAGTGATGTCCTCTATATCAGCACTCATGGGATGCCTCTCGTCCAATCAAATTACTCTGTTGGAACTAACTGTTGTATAATTATGTTTAACGTGGCCAAAGTTTCAAATAATGAGGTAAACATATGTAAAAGTAAAACCTGTTGCCAAAAGTTGACGTCAGATCGTGATGAATTTCTCTTTATAGTCATCTGCTCCAGGTTCGCCACTGCAAGTGTTTTCATTATGTAGCCTACACTGCTACATGTAGATATATGCTAACTTCAGGGAAATATGTCTTATTGGTTGCTGATGTTACTATTTTATCCCCGATTGCGGATCATATTCCTGTTGGAACATGTCCAGTTGTGTTTTGAAGCCTTTAATGGTGGTTTTTCAAAGTAGAAAGTGCTGCTGTACTCTGTTGCAGTCATTCTCCAGCTGCAGTGAAGGTGCAGAGAAAAAGTTGGACAAAATTTGGAAAACCTGGAAACACTGACCAATCGGAGCTGACTGAGCTTTTTAGGGAGAGGCACGTAAAGAGACAGGCGCCAAATGGAGTCTCCTTAAGCATGACTTTTAGTAGGTTGCGCCACATTTTTGATGAGCATCCCTCGACAGAAATGACGCATTTTCAACAGGAGAAAGTTTTCCTCAACACTGTCCCACACCTGGAGAATTTTAATATGTCACTGACAATGGCATATTTGGTCGCGCAATGTGATTGGTAGTGTTACTATTGTCAGAACAAAAAAATACTTTGCACATTTATTTCCAAACAAGTGTGTAGGAGAGGGACGAGAAGAGAAAAACTCCTGCACACTTTATAATTTGCAAAAATATTGATTTTAATGCTGTGATGTTTCTGTAACTAGACCTTCATCGAGCATACCGAAACGTCGCAGCATTAAAATCAGTATTTTTGTAAGTAAGGGTGCAGGAGTTGTTCTACATGCGTTACTGATGTCGCCATGGCAATAGTAGTTTGCAGTCCACACTGCCTCTAACCTGCATTTGGCACCTCTGTCCACAGAAGCATCCATCTGCCTGCAGAGCTGAAACAGTGACTGATCAAACTGCCCTCACCAGGCTGACTGACAGCAGATATTTACTAAACCAAAACACGTTTAGCACCACGGGACAAAATCAACAGTGTTCATTTTTATTGAGTCATTGATTTTATTTCCCAGCCCACCATAGTGAGTGAGGGGAACCTGCTGCTCCCAGACACTGGGAGCTGATCAATCAATGTAGATATGGTTAATAAGTTAAAACACACATATACAGCGGGATATATTTGTGTGATTTAAACAGCAGTCTGTGCAGATTACGCTTCACTAAACGTGACAGAAGATGACTCAAAACCTTTCCCTGAACCATAAACTGAAAACGCTGTGTGACCATTTAATTTCTGTTGAGCCACACTCTTCAAACTCCTTATTTCATCCAAAGTAGTGCGCTTGTTTGTTCCTTAACAACAGGCCTCTGTAAATGAATGATAAATATGGCTGGACTCATCCTGGTGACAGTTTCAAGGCTCTTTCCTGATTGTTGTTTGTGCGACTGAATTATTTGTCATCATAAACGACCTTGCCTCAAACTATTGCTGTTTACCATGTTGTGGCTTCTGAAATATACACAAGGTATTGATTTGCTTGTTATAAATTACACATGGATTGTGTCCATTTTGAAATTCTCTTACCTCTGTCATTCCACAGGAGTCCATCACTGCTGAAAAATGTGTCTTCCAACCTCGACTTTGGGACGGTTCTGAACACCAGTTTACAGGTGAGAGGATGTGTTAGTGTACACCTTTAAAGCCACTGCAGTACCAGCTTCTTGATTACAGGATCTGGTTGATGTCGCTGTTCGATTTCTGATCAATCTTCTTTGTAGACCGCACTGGCTGAGGCGTCACTGCCGGGATTCAAGAGGGAGTGTGTTAGCAGAAACTCCAGGAGTCGAATACAGGAGAGCAAAGCAACAAACAGCCACAACAAACAAAACTTCTCTCCAGGAGTCCAACAGTGAGTTTTGGTTATTGTGAACTCTAAAAATGTATTAGAGCTGGGGTAGGCAGGTTTATTTTGGTGTAATCGGGCAAGAATCCTGTAATAAACCTTGAGCATATTGTAATTCAAGTGGACTGAGAGAACAGGAGCCTTCTGCACCTCCTCTTGGCTCTGTTTTCAGGCTGTAGAAAATCTAGGCCACTAGAGAAGTCTTTGGCCGATCATGGGTCATTTCAGAGAGAGGGCGTTCCTATTGGCTGTTCTACAAATGCAGATGTCCATGCACGTCTCTGCAGTGAAAGCTTGATCCAATGTCGGAGAATCCTTCAGAAAGAGTTGCTATTCCAGCACCGGCAACAACTACCTACACTGCACAGCAACCCAAAAAAGGAAAACAAAGAGAAAATGTTGCTAATAAATTTTGCCTTCAGCTAACCAGAGCTAAACGCTCATGGCTGCGGCTTCAAGTTCACGTCTATGTAGCCATAGAACCTTAAATCACAGTTTGTCTTCTCAAGGGGCTTTACAGGTGCGCACCTTTAGTCAGCAGCTGTAGCAAATGAAACCGAGCCAGTGCAAATCCCAGACCATTCAAACTCTCCGCTAGATCAGCAGACTTTCTGTTGCTGCCATTACACAGGTTAGCCCACCACTGCCGTTGACCACCAGCTTGCTGTGATCCCTGGCGCTGGGGGTTTGCCCTGGCTGAATTCAAGTTTCCACAGCCACTGACCAAAGGTCCGTCTCTCAAGCTGCTGCCTGCTCTCCTCCCAGGGAAGCAGTCCACAGCGATGGGGAGCCAGGCAGATGAACCATGGGGCGGCTAGCTGGCTAATTTTTGTCTCTCAACGATGAAAAATCCAAATAATTTCAAACTGCCGAGGGCTCAACTGCAATTTTTAGAAAACATTTTATTCTGTTTTTTGCCGTGCCAGTTTTATTTATATGCGCAGCTGCGACAGAGATAGTCATTTGTTCTCTTATTTTAGTGGTGACATTACTGTTTCCTTTTTAACAGCCAATCAAAGTGCTCGAGGAAAAGTGCTGCACAAAGAAGACGAAGACTGATTGATTTTATAGTTTTTTTAAGAAAAAGATGGTAAAAGGAGCATAAAGGGGCTGAATGAATGAATGAATGAATGTGCTGTACACAGCTCTATAATGAATAAGATTAAAGAAACGGAGGCATGTGAAACACTGGGTTACTGTCTGAAATGCCAGCATTGTTTTAGAGAAGAAGTGCCTATCCCAGCTTTAAATGACTGACGTGCAGCAATAATTGATCCATGATTGAACTGTCTTTGTTTTTCACCTCTTGCAGGTCTCTAGATCTGAATGACCAAGAATCTCTGCTGCCAACAGTAAAACCAGCCGGTCTGCAGCACGACATGACTGAAGACGACGACGACGACGACGACGAGCATTTGTTTGACCTTGAATGACAAAAGAAAGGATTCAGACTGGATCGTTTGAGTTAAGTTAGCCTTCGTTGAACATTCAGGGATATAAACCCTACCATCTTCACTTCATTTTAATCGTCAGTGTGTTGTACCAGTCGGCCTGAAATTCTCACATAATACCATTAAGAACTCCGAACTGTGGCTCATTACATAGTTCATGTATTCATAGTTTCATACACAAGCAAACTGGTCTGATGTTGTTGCCTATTGATGACTACATGTCTGCAAAAGTGGACATTTTCCTTTGACTTTAGACCTTAAAGAAAGGAAAGTGAAATATAGTGACGTCTATAGTTTTTGTGCTGGCTTATTACTTTATTATTTTCTGCTTTTCTGATCAGCCAGAGATTAAAAACAAATGAATAAATAAACAAATAGTTTAAAGATATGATAAAAAGCCTTACAGGTGCTCACATCTGAACTACACACATAAAAATTTTTTGATCTTGATCTTTGAATCCTACCCTTTTCATGTAAATGATTCCCTCCAAAGGCCAAAGTACAGGACTAGTTGTTATAATACTGTGTAGAGAACGACTGTTTGTCTGTTATTGTGATAGCTCAAAGAAATAACACAGGGTGAATGTGGATGTTACATTACAGCAAAGCCAGAGATGTTTTGCTGTGACTGTTTTCTGTTGATGACATATCTGAAAACATGTATTACAGTCTGTGCCGTGGCTTCTCTCTGTTGTCTCTGTACATTAAAACTACTTGTATGATGCACATCGGTTTGCTGAAATGTGTTTTATCGATGTCACCGTCTGGTTTGTTTTCCTGTTCCTGTGTGTAACTTATGTATTTATTAACACTGTGTTTCCACTGAAATAAAGAACGTTACAAACATTTCACTTTTATAACAGTATTTGCAATAGACACTGTGCACATAATACTGTATTTATAAAAATGTGTTTGTCTGTAATTGTGTGTCCAAAGTGTCAGTTTTTAATGTAATAAATATATGTAAACCCTGATGATTGTTTGTGAGTTCATGTTTATTTAATCACCATCACACATTTGTGTTAAAAAAATCAGGTATTCAGACAATCATTTATATTTAATGTTACATGTTTGTTATTTGGTTGAGATGGTGTTTGTATATTTAATATCTAAGACTGTTGTTTATTTATCTGTATTTATGGTTGTAAATAAGTTTGGGATAGTATAGACAATTTTAAATGAGACATGAATACTGAGGAGGTAGGATTATGTAAGTGTACACTTCTTCCTGCTCCTTTTTGAGCATGTCTGTTCATGTTTTGCTTGTTTTTTTATTTTTCATTTTGGTCAAAATAAATTAATTCATTCATACACTCATAACAGCACACGTATAGACTTAATACCACACGCTGTCACTAGAAAATAAATGTGAAATGTGTACATATTTTTGACTGAATATCAACAGCGAGAGCACGGTTGTGTTTCTCTGGATTTTAGTTTGGCTAATTCTAATAAGAAATTTGAATTATTTAAATCAAACTAAACTATGATGACGTAATTCAAAATGATCTATTCACATGGATGCTTTGTGCAAATCAGATCCCTCACAATATTGCTGGCATTTACAATTCTGAATTTAGCAGTGTGTGTTTTATGTAGTTGGTGTGCAAGCAGAAATTGTTACCTATATGAACAAAGTAAAAATGGATGTAAGATTCTGCATGACTTAAGTAATAAGTAATAAATTAAAATAATAAATATAAATTCCTACTGCAAGTAATGATGATTAACATTAAATTATTACATAAGCTGCAGATTGTTTTTTAAAAAAATATATTTTTAAAGCATTTTTGTTAATATTCATGGTTGTTTTGCTTTTGATGATCACTGAAAGATTTTGTTTACCCTCCTTTATCATACCATCATGTAAAATGCCATAATAATAATAGGGAAAATAAATAAATAAACAATGGCGTCACACCATGAAGTGAAGCTGTTACTGTAGACTTCACCACCAAATCCAGAACAAAGGCCTCAGATTCTCCAGCTCCCTGTTTTGACTAATGTCAGTAATTGTCTTTGCTGATAACGAGTTAGCTTTAAGTTTGCTGTTGCCTCCCAGAGCTTCCTTTGATTCGCTGTCAGCCTATTAGACGACATTTTCCTCTGGCTGCCTCTCCACTGCTGCGTTCACTGACTGAAAGTTAGCATGGTGCTCGACAACTTCAACAGCTTCACTTATGTGTTGCTTTGATGTGCCATATACTCGCAGTGAGGCGGGCGAGTCAACATGTTTTTCAGCGCAGCACTTTTGACAGCACTTAGTCAACAGCCGTGTAGAAAGGGGCTGGTCTCTGTTCATCTACTCATCAGCGTGTAATCAAGATGCTGTCGCCCATGTGTCCAATATCTCCATGAAATACTCATCTGTGGGAAAACATTTCCACATGCAGAGATTTCAGTGTCACTGACTGTAATTAATCACTCAGTAATGGTTTTATTTTGTTCTGGGAGGTTAAAGTAAAAACTCTTGATTGGCTCACTATCACTCTATGCCCTCAAGTACATATTAAGATTAAAGGAATACTTTACCCACAAATTATCATTTGTATATTAATTACTCACCCCATTTTATGCTGAAGTCATGAGAGAAACTCAGATTTTTTTGCATCCTTCCACTGTAAACAAAGAATCCAAAAACTGACAAAGTCCTTGATGTGTTGCAGTGAAAGGGGGCCACGTGTAACGACAGCAAAACTGTGTAAAAACACCTTTTTACAAACACTCACACAGCTGGTGCAGTATAATCCAAGTGTATTTTGTCCTGTTGTAATCAAACACATGCATTTACACTAAAACTTTACTATTTAAAATATGCAGGTCCATGCGTTCTACTTGCATGTGGTACTAACGCCTTCTCATGTTGTTGTTTTGACAAATTTGTCCAAATTGACAAAGGCTAAAAATACATTTCCTGTTTATTTGCATTCTATTTTAGTTTTGTAATATTGTTTTCAGCCATTTCTGTTTTTTTTCTAAAGTCTAGTTTTTGTTTTTAAAATTTCAGTTAATTAAAAAAAATTGTTCACACCTAGTTTTAGTTAGCTATACCAACCTTGCAAGCGTGTGTTTGTTCTCTGCTCGTGCAGAGTTTTTGAGCAGAGTTCAAATGAACATGCTTGCACAGACGCACTGCTTCTCCCTGTGTGAGACTGTTAATGCGGAAGTGTTTTAAATCGTAAAGTTTTGGCGAGAATGCATGTGTTTGGGAAGTACTGAGCATCAACTGGATAAATGGGACTTGGATTACACTGCAGGAGTTGTGTGAGGCTTTTTAAGTTAAGTTAAGTTAAAGTCCCACTGATTGTCACACACCTGAGTATGTGAAATTTGTTCTCCGCATTTGACCCATCCCCTGAGGGAGCGGTGAGCAGCAGCGGTGCGCTCAGGAATCACGTGGTGATCTAACCCCCCAAATTCCAACCCCTGATGCTGGGTGCCAAACAGGGAAGCAATGGGTCCCATTTTTAGTCTTTGGTATGACCTCCCAGTCTCGGGGCGGACACTCTGCCACTATGCCACTGAGCTGGTTTAATTGGAGGTTTGATGTAGTTTGCTGTTGTTAAACATGGCCCCCTTTACTTTAATTCATCAAAAATTGTCTACATTTCCTTTGAGTTGAAAGGGGTCAGATGAGGTGGTTCGGGGATTGGATCAGGATGCCTCCTGGCCGCCTCCCGTTAGAGGTGTTCCGGGCACGTCCCACTGGTAGGAGGCCCCGGAGCAGACCCAGAACACGCTGGAGGGATTCCTATCCCATGTGGCCTGGGAACACCTTGGGGTCCCTCAGGAGGAGCTGGAAAGTGTTGCTTGGGAGAGGGATGTCTAGTGCTTTGCTTGGCCTGCTGCCCCTGTGACCTGGCCCTGGATAAGCGGATGAAAATGGATGGATGGATATCAATGACATAAATGTTGTTTGAAAGTATATAGAGGTACATATAATGTTATTACTGATACTGTTTTGTATATGTTGTACTTGAAGATGTATTGTCATATTTTGTATGTTTGATGTCAAGCAGTGTCTTCTTATCTCGTGGGATCGGCCAAACATTTTGCATGATACAGAAATAAAAACTAACAGACTATTAAAGTGAAAACATGGATTAACATAAATACAGCAAATTAGTAATTGCATTTAGTTGCAAACAGAATGGTAGATCATGCATAACTTTGACAGGTCTGTGTGTGTGTGTTTGTGTGCATAAGAGGGTGCGAGAGCTTGCATACATAGAGTATTCAGCTAACACACTCGTGGGGCATGTGCCTCCGTCGTGTTAGGTGACTAAATGCAGAACAGAGAAGGCAAACTAAAGTCACACAATCAGACCTCGGACGTCTCAGCTGCTCTGTGATCAGTATGTTCAGAGTGGCGACTCAGGAATCTGCTGGGAAGGGGAGTGTTGTTAAGTCACTGAACAACAACAAAACACACACACACACAAAGAGTACAGCTCACAGTCTCCTGAGCGGTGACTCAGGGCGGCATGTTGGGTGTTGTTGGAGGTTTCCTGACCTCTTGGTGCCGACAGAAGCAGGGAGATGAGAAAGGTGAACGGTTGAACGGAGTGTAAAGGAGCTCCTGAGCAGTCATGAGTATCAGACATGTTAGAAGGAGACCATTCACCTGTGGACAGGACGGAGGAACACGGCAACCCGACTAAAGGCAAGTGCTCATGATCTGACCTGACATAAGCTGTAAAATATGTGTCTTCACGCTGCTGCTCTTGCCTCGTGTTTCAGACAAAGAGACAATATTTTGTGCTGCTATTTATTCCCCATAAATTTGACCATTTTTGTCCCAACAATATTTAAAGTTTTAAGTGTTTCCTGGGACACTGAAGCACCTTAATAAATCATGTGATGGTAAGGAGCTCTTTAAATCAGGTCTACACTACACATATTAAATGGTAGTGATTATGATAAATGACTACTGAGTGGTCAGTAATAAATCTGTCATATCTTTTAATACCTTTTTAACATCACTTTCTCTTAATGTCTCTCAAGGTAGTGCGTCTTTAAAATCAGCGCAGGATATCCTTCCAGCACGTGACCCTATTAGCAGAGGAAATACCATCCCCGCTGACCTCATCAGCAGTAAGTGGAAACCGTGAGATCTGTGAACAATACAATGACCTAAATGAAATGTTGTTATTCTCGACGTGGGGCTATCCGCTACCACAACGTGTAAAGAAAATGAAAAGTCCTGCGTGCAAAACAATGACTGTGTTTCAAAGCTGTTTTACACTTACCAGTGTGTCTCAAATTTTAAAGGGATGGTTCACATGTTCACAAAACATTAAAACCACTGACATTTGAAGTTTATAACACTTGTCATCTCATTGCAACTCAACATCCTGCTGTTAAACCTTAGGTCCTTGCATTCATTTGGATGCCACCTGACATGTGGTGGGACCCGTGGGACATGACGGTATCTCAGAGGTCCTGTGTCCACACCTCAACAGGTCAGAGGCCCCATCATGGATCGGCCTTGGCTCTGACCTGTCTAGGCATCGACACATCACCTCTGGGTGTGTCCTGTGGTGTCTGGACCTAGGGAGTTGGTGGTAGATCCCAATGTCCAGCAGAACATTGTATTGTAACGAGGTGAACAGGGTTATTCACGTCACTTGTGGATGGTTTTAATGTTTTAGTTGATAGGTGTATGCCACCTACAAAAATAAATACCAGTTTAAGTGTGCACTGTCCATCTATGCTCCCTTCAAAGGCACCAGATTCCATTGATAAAAATAGTAATTTTACTTCACATAACACAGGAGTGGTTGGTCTACCAACTTCCTCAAATTTAACAGTGATTAAACTGAGTAACTTCTCATTGGCACCAAATCCACATTGGCAAAAATTGACAGTTTCACACTTGATATTGATTACTCCTCAGTCTCCCCCCCCCCCGCAGTTTAAGAGTCTGGGGGTCATCCTCGGCAGCACTCCCTCACACCGCAGGGTACCGCCTGGTTACATCCCGTATAGTCTCTATAAACAGACTCTACATTCACTGACTGTAGAGTCTGTAGGCAAACCCCGGAGATCTTGCCTCCGGAAGAAGAGCGGAAGAGCCCTGGTTTCCGGTTGTAGGCTGTTTGTAGTCCACGTGATATTGACCAATTACATTTGAGCCAGCTGCAGTTGTTGCCAGGTTAAACGCTCCATGCGGTGAACTAACGAGGCGGAACATAATTGGCGTCACTGCAAACTCTGAATCCATCGCGATGGTTCAGCATATTTACTTATATATAAACGGAAGTCGGAAACAGAAATTCGCCTCCTCCACCCAAATCAAACCGAAATGCCAAAAAATCGGGGGTCTGCCCCCAGAGGCTGTATCGCCGTCTGCCGGAAGTCAGACACCGAATACAGCCGATGGGTTCCGAGAATGCATCTCGTATTGATTACTGTAACTCACTCTTTTTTGGTCTTCCCCTCAAGTCCATCCACAAACTTCATCTGGTCCAGAACTCTGCTGCTCACATCATCACCAGAGCCCCCTCCATCAGTCACACCACTCCTGTCCTTCAGTAGCTTCACTGGCTTCCAGTTAAATACTGCACTGGCTTTAAGATCTTACTCATACAACCCACTTAAAAAAAAAATCCAAACTATCCCTTTAATGCCCAGATTGATTATAGCTTTGTGCTCACTCTGAAGCTTCAACACTGAGTAATTCTATTCTTGCTCTGTGATGGGGTATTAAGACTCTTCCCTGTATGTTTGTTTGTTATTTTGCCCAGCCCAGCCTCTACCTGCTGCAGTCCCACCAGCAGAGGCCTCGCAGGAGGCAGCCAGGTTTAAGAAGCCTCAATGTGACCTCCAAAAGCCCACCTGCCCACGATGTGGCCTCACAGTCCCAGACCACAGTCTCCCCGCTCCTCCCCCAGGCCTGAGCCGACTGCAGGGCTCCAGCTTGTCGGTGCACAGCAGCAGCAGCAGGAAGGGCAAGAAGAGTGCGAGGAGTGTGGCTGGCTCACACCAACCTACTGCTACAGCAAGTGGTAGGCACAGCAATCATGCCCCCCCCCCCCCCCCCCCCCCCCCCCCCCCCCCCCCCCCCCCCCCCCCCCCCCCACTATTTCTTGCGCTAGGTTTAGTTTTTTCCGCTTTCTCCAGCGCTGGCATAGCACTAAAATGAAGTGTGGACATAGGTCTGGCAATGCAAGACTACCCGTCCTAGAATCACCACCATTTAGGTCTCCTAAAGCAAAGTGGTCCCAGCTAAGCTGGCCAGACTAAGAGCGATTTAAGAAGACCCCGAATTAAACGGTCTAGAAGATGATTGAGTACCTCATCTGGTACGAGGAAACCAGGGTCCCCCCCAGAGGCTGAGGAAACACCCTGGAGCCACTGCCCACAGTGGGAAGCATCGGGGTCATGTGTATTATGTGCCAGGCAGCAGGCAGGTGCAGGTACCCAGGCGTGCTGACTCTTGACATCACAGACAGAAAGAAATTAGATTGGGGAAACAAGCTGCTGAAATGAATTTCCTCCATAGGGTGGCTGGGCTCAGCCTTACAGATAGAGTGAGGAGCTTGGACATGTCGAGGGAGCTCAGATTAGAGCTGCTGCTCCTTCCTGTCAAAAGGGGCCAGTGGAGGTGGTTCAGGCATCTGATCAGGATGCCTCCTGGGTGCCTCCCGTTAGAGGTTTTCTGGGACATACAGTTGGTAGGAGGCCCTGGGGCAGACTCAGAACACACTGGAGGGACTGTATATCTCATCTGGCCTGGAAACCCCTCCAGAGGAGGAGCAGGAAAGTGTTGCTGGGGAGACGGACGTCTGGGGTACCTTGCTAAGCCTGCTGCCCCTACAACCTGGCCCCGAAAACCCAGATGAAAATAGATGGACACATGACTAGCGTTAGGTTGGCTGGTGAAAGAGCAGTGCGCATAATGATGGCTAATGTTAGAGGAAACATTGGAGAGACTCAGCCATACATGTGAGAGATGAGGAGTCTGTTGTGCACCAAAATTGGCGGCTAGTATACGTATCAGAATACTAAGTGTTGTTTTGTTTATGTTGTTTGGTTAGCTTGTGGTGAGCTTGTAGGCTAACTGTCAGTGGCTTAAACAGCGCTAATGGTTGTGAAATGGTCTACACTAATATGGGATTTTTGGCAGACAGTGGAAGGATGCTCCAGGGTCCAGTTAACATCCAAAAACTACACACCCTACCAAGTTTGCTGTCAAAACCTTTGCTATGCTAACGCAAACTCTGCTTTCTGTACTTACCGCTAATATGTGTTTCCAATAATAGACAACAATGGGCTGTCATATTAATGACGTATATGATCTATCTTGCTTGGCATACGTTTGAATCCAGATTTTAGGGCAGTGCACAGACATCGGTACCCTGGAAATTCTCGCAAGAGCACAATTTGAATTTGCTCAGCGAGTCACTCTGGCAATCGTAATGATGCTCATTACCCATGCCGTTGGAGCCGAGCTGCACCAATCACATCGGTGTATCTTATAGGCGGGCCAGGGGCGAGCTAAACAGATGACGACAGCGCTGCGACGACGAAGTCCGGAATCAGTCAGTAAACATTGTAAGATGGCTACGAATGAACACCAGTTGTTTGAGACGGCTTTGGCCGCTACAATGAACGAATTAGACTTGGCTTTTTCTCTAAAAGAGGAACAGAAGATGGCGCTCGAATCTTTCCTTTGCAAGAAGTACGTTTTTGCTGTTTTGCTGACCGGATACTGCAAGAGTCTAATCTACCAGTTAGCTCCGCTGGTAGCGCTCTGGATACGTCACCCCGTGTATGCTTCTGATTGGTCGTAGTGTTATCCAATTGTGTGCAGTGATATTTACAAATGCATGCTTGGTGCCGGCCCTCGAGTTGGGCCATTTTCATTACTCATAGCCAGACCCTAAATCTTTCTAGATTTGAGTCTGGATTTCCAGGCTAAGACATCGGCACCTCAATTACAGGAATGTGAAAACAATTCTCTAGTAACTAATGAAGTCAGTATAGTTCAGGTCAGACATTTTAAGGTACATAAACATTTTTGAGTCGATGGACTCTTTAAACAGCAGTGGACAATATGATATAAAATTAAAACCACAATAAATTGTCATATTTATCCTGACATATAATACATTGATTAACAACATTTGAATTCTCAAACTTACATTTTAAGTATACTTTTATATGTATATTTTGATTAATAACAGAATTACCGTACATATTTTGGACTGCGTTTTGGACTGCTGTTGGTAATTTAATAAATTTGGTTTATCATGCACCATTATTGGAAAGTTATAGTTAAATTGAAAGAGTATAAAAACTGTTTGAAACATTCAAATGATTTTTCAGTTACCACCAAAGACAATCTCTCTTCTGACACAAATAGATCTCTAAAAAGTTTCCCTTGAAGACTTTCAGACTGCTGCACTTTCTTCCAGTTTTATCAAAGCATGCAGCAGGCCACTCCTTGTTTATCCTTGTGTTCATGTTGTTATCTCTGTGAAGTTGTGCATTAAATCAATACAGTAGCCACACATAATGCTCCTTTTTCATCTACACACATATATATAGGTATTAGCATAAGTTATGCTGGGGTGTATAATTCGAGCGGCTAAGCAGGAAAACGCTGAACCCCACTCCCCAGGGAATTCTGCCATCTGCTTTTCATTTACTTCCTTGAGTAAACAGGATAAAACAGCTCGATTTGCATGAGCTCACTCACTACCTGGTCCTTGCGAGGATGAAAACAGCAGCTGAGTAACAATACAACAGTTAGGATCGCGAGAGATGCACTGTAACACACCAGCGGGGTTAATATATGCAATTTCATCTGCACCTAATTTGGGCAGGAGAGCAATTATCTTGTGACAGCTTCTTCCTAGTTGTTGTTCATCACTGGCAGCCTCGGTGGCCTTTTTTATTTTCCCTCGAGGACTGAAGGAAGCTCTGTGATTAAGTAAACACAATCACACTTGATCACTGCGGCAGAGCTGTTTCTCTTTTATGTTCTCGTTGGCACCACAAATAAACATGCGAGAGATTAATTTAGGGTTAATAGAATCGTTAATCCCCGTTTCTGATGATGTCTGACAGGCGTTTAGAACATACAACAGCTTCTCTGTGACCTCAGATGTGATATTTGTGGCAAAATCACTTCTCTGTCTCATTTCTCCTCACCCACAGACTCTTGTTTACACCTGCTGCTGGCGTGCCTGTGGTGCCAGTGCTCCGTGCTGCTCCTGGGTCTGCTGGAGGCGTGCTCCTCCTGCCTCCACACCCTGTGCTCCTGTTGCTGCCACGCCTGCGCCCGCTGCTGCTCGGCCATAGAGGAGGCGCCCGTGGAGGAGCTCAACTGCCATGCCCACTGCCACTCGGTGCTGTTTGAGTCTTGCTGCGAGCCGACCGAGTGTCTTGAGTTTTGTCTGGAGTGCTGCGAGATCTGCCATCGCAGCTAGGACGCGGCTGGGCCATCAGGCCTGAGGACTAATATACTAAAAGACGTGATGAGACTGAAACAACAGACATTCTAACCAACGTTGGATTCGCTAGTTCTGCAATGACATTTCTTTGTCATCACCCATCTATGTACTAATTATTCTTACAACACATGCTGCTAAAACCAAACTCTGAATGGTCACTTTTCAAAGAGGGAAGATCTGACTCCAGTGCGTCACACTTCTCTTCATCAGTAAAGGCAATTTTAAGTGCCTTTATAAACTAAAGCACTTTGAAATAAGTAAAACATTTTGGGAAATTCTCATATTTGTTTCTCTGTCCAAATCATAAGTACTGAGCTTTGGCCAGGATGTGATTCAACGTTAGCTAAACTTAGCATAAAGCCTGGGAGATGGGAGGAATGACTAGCCTGGCTCAACTAATCCAACCCTCAACATCTCTTAAGATCACAAATTACTGAAAGTAAAACCACAAATTGTCCTTTTGTGTTCAATTAGCTATTTTAGCAATGTTGCTGTCAGTGTTGCTCAGTCTTTTCCAATGGAAGTAGTTAGCACTCACTCTAAAAGTCGCTGAAAGTTGATGGCATATGCTTATTTGCATTAATGGAAGAATTTAAACTTCACAGCATTAGATTCAATAGAAAAGAATGAGATGGGCCAAATGGGAAACTCACTAGGCTACAACTGAATTCCCACGGCGAGCAGTGCCTCCTCTCCTCTTGCCCTGCCTGTCCTACACCTACTGCACGATGCAAGAGAAGAAGAGAGGGGGAGGAACCTGCACTAACGGTGAAAAAGCCGTGGACTGTGATGACTCTGAGCAGCGTGCATGGGAATGAATTACAATATACTATATTTTCTCTTTTCCCCTGATGGTCTGAATAAGTCGCTAAACTTGTAGCTTTTTAGAAATAAAGTTGCAAACAGGGTCTGAAAAGTCATTAATCTAGCAAGAAAGTCCCCAAGTTGGCTACAATGGTTGCCTTTGTTTAAGGGAGCGATCACACCGAGATGAAATGCCAGAAACGCGACGCCAGTAAAACCATTGTTTGCCAGTAAAACCATTGTTTTTCTGACCGGCGTTCAAGCGTCTTTTTAGATGGCCGTTTTTCCAGTGTCTTTTTAGACGCACGTTTTTGTAGACGCACGTAGACGCTGAAAAGTTAAAATATTTTCAACGTTTTGAGCGTCAGACGCCAGTAGCTAGCGCGCATTGAATAAGCTCTTCCAGTGTTTCAAGCGTCTTTGAAGCGTCCGTGTCTCTAGCGTCTCATTTCTGTGTGATTGCCCCCTAAGGCTGTTCACTGAGTTAGCACTGTTAGCTACCGGCTCAGCCACCACCAGGTTGAGAACTGTGTCCAGACAACTCCTACGCTCTAAATTACACAGAGCCCTTTTATAAATTTTATAAATTAATTCAGACTTTTTTTAAACTCTAAAATACACTGAGATAGACACCTCATTCACGTTATAACAAAGTAAATTTTTTAAAAAAAAAAGGATCATCGGCACATTGACCACAAATCAGATAAAAATGGTGATAAATGTAATACAGTTTTAGTGAGAGATAGTCTTTGGCAGGCAAATTACTGAACTTTGGACAGATCCTGGTTAACTGATTCCCACCCTTCCAGTCGTTATGCTAAGCTAAACTAAGCTAAGCTAAGCTAAACTAAGCACATCTTGGTTTTGAGAACCACACTTTTGAGAAATACACTTTTTGCCTAGAGTTATATTAGAGGTTTCATACCACTCCCATTTTGTCTGTGAAATATGAAGCTACAGCCAAAAGACCATTTTTGACCTCCTTGAATCTTCACCATGAGGTTACCAGGCTAGTCGTATCCCCCCGTTTCCATTCTTCATGCTAAACTAACCGCTTCCTGGCTCCAGCTTCATAGATCATTTAAACACACATATGAGAATGGTGTCAATCTTCTTATCAATCTCTCTGGAAGAAAGTAAATGAGCCTGTTTCCCAAACTATTCCTTCACCATCAGTGCATTCTCATCTCACTACAGCCACACTAACAAGAGGAAGGAATAGATTATTATGTATTATTTATCTCCTACTTGATTTCGTGGGAAATAGATTCAAGGACCTTTTGAAATATTAAAAGAAACTGACAAGGTCATTTATTCTGCTCATTAAATCTCTTTGGATAGCCAGGGTGAATAAAATTAAAGCTCATTAATACTCTAGTGTTGTTCTCGATCACATTGCGGCACAATGAAATGGTCAATTTTGTGATAAACAAGCACAGAAACTTGCTGCACTGCGGTGTGTTCAAGCTACAGTGTGTTCAGGATTCAGGCTTTATTCTACAGAAATAAAACCTTTTGTTTGTACATCAAGTTGCATTTAATGACTTTGACCCAGCAGGACCCCGAACGAGTGGGGTCTACCTCTTTGCTCAGCTTTGTACGGGTTCTCATGTTATAAGATTGCAGGTCTGACTTTTCCCTGCGCAGCTCTTTGCAGCTGAGGAACAGGGCGACAAAAAACCTGTCAGCTCTCTCTTGAATCCCTTTTCATATTTGTCATATAAAGCACTTAGAACATAAAAGGATGCTCATTCTCCCCAGATCTCGGAAGATCGAAGCAGGCTCCTTTAAAGCCGTCGTGTGACTTGACAGCAGAGAGGCAGAGTAAACAGCCAAAAATAAAACAAAGCGGCGATAAAGACAACGCTGTCAATCTGTCCGGGCGAGCCAAGAGGCTCATTTAAATCATGTTACAGCAAGTAAATCGAATTTAAGTATCTCTTTTGCCCACAACACATTTGGATTCTGCTGGTGACAAGAAACAGCGGTGACGTCCAATTTAGAGCATGGCGAGCATACACCAACAAATAAACACTCAGGTTTGTTCCACTTGTCCCCCTCAATTTGTTATACCCTTTACCCACAGCTGATGTCTACCACCACAAATCACAAACAGCTGGTACTGTCAGAGTGGATTCAGGACCTACATGTGTTACAGCCACACAGTGATGCGCTACTTCAAGATGGATGTTTAGGTTTGCATTTGAGGTTTGATTTGAAATCACCACTAAAATGAAAAATACTGATGAAAATGATGCCAGTGACAGTGCCACCGCTTTTGATTTTACGGTTGTGAAGACAAACAAAAATAAAACTAGCTCTGGATATAAACTTTTAAATATTTTGCTAACAGATTAATCCTTTTAAGTTGTGTTTCTAAGCAAAAATGACAAATACTTTCTTGTTCTGCTCCATCACTTGTTAGGATTTGCTGCTTTTTGTCATTTTATGTGTCGATAAATTATCTTCAATATATCTTTAATTTCAAGACATCACCGTGGGGTTCCGAGAAATTGCTATGAGCATTTTTCTGACTTTATAGACCAAACAATTACTTTACAGATGAATTAATAATGTACAATGATTATCATTAGTTGTAACTCTAAACCTTTGTGCCTGTTTTTCCAGCAAAATAACATAATGAAATATGAATCACAAAAAACAATTGTACTAAGAAAAGGCAATCAAAATTTGAAATAAAAAGTCTATTAAAAAAGCTGGTGAAAATGGTGAAAAATAATTACAAGAAATTATTTAAACTTTTTTATTAATAATAATATATTGTTGCCCATATCTGAACACCCATTACTACTCTGTCCTATTTATATTTTGGTGTGTGTTTGTGGGTTTTAATTGTGGAGTTTACATTCCACAGTTAAAAACTCTAACATGATAGGTATTTTATAAACTGACATTTTTTATGACTACTTTTACTGCTCTGCATGTTTAGTAATCCTGTTTATGACTGTATATCTAGCTACTGTACTTTTATTTATTTAATTTATGCCAGAAACAGTCCCACTGAGATTCAAAACCTCTTTTTCAAGGGAGTCCTGGGCGAGACAACAGCATCAAGAATTTCACAGAAAAGTACAAACAAACAGCATAAAACTTTTCATACACATAACAGACTACATTCTTAAAACAAACCAGTTAACTAAAAACAATTAATTTGAATTCGGAGCATTCAATAGAGGTGGGAATCACCAGATGATCCACAATACGATATTATCACGATACTTAAGTCACAATACAATATTATTGTGATTTTAAATATGTTGCGATATCCTGAGAATTGGGATAAAATATATTGCTATATACTGCAAAATATTAACTTTTTTTCAACTGTGAATCATGTCCCTGAAGGAAAACTTTGTCAACATCTTTTTTATCTTATAGGATAAAGTTTTCAGTCCGTTCATTTCACCTCAGCCATTTTTTTGCAGCAGTAAAATGTATCTAGAGGACTGAAAAAGTAATTGATTACGTTATTCTTGTCGGCTACCTCTTGAAGACAAGAGAGTGAAGGAAGCACTTTTACCAAAGACAGTGCAGGTAAGGGAAATGACACACACACAAGTCAGAAGGTTGACAGAAGGTTAATATAATTTTTCCTCACAGGTGAGACAGGAAACAGTCACATTAAACTAAAAAATAAACATATCAAATGAGCACCTCTCTTGAAACTGCCCTTCAGTTAAACTTTTCTTTTAGGTTTAGAGACATTTTAGTGTCAAGTGCGCGTGGGAAATCAGAGTGCTGTAACTGTTGGTCATTCATACCTCAAGTGTCGCTAACTTGGGTAGTTATGTCAGGGTGTCGACAGATATCAACAGTTAAATGTAATGCTTTTAAAGACCTTTACAAGATACATTTTTAAATTTAAGACAGATTTTTGGTCAAATCATCTTTTTCTTATTCAAGCATAGCAGGTAAGTTTAAGGTTGAGACCCATGCAGAGAAGGTTTTATGTAGAAATTCTGTTATTAGAGTAAGTTCAGTTAATGTACATTGTGCCAACAGGTAAGTGGAGTAAAGACCAAGGGTCACTGGTAGGTTTAACGATTTGTAACATCAGAAAAGAGGACTTTAACGAAGAAGAGCTTGACTCATTTTGAAAAAATACATAAATAATTAAATTAAAAGATGGGTAAACTAAATTAGATAAAATGTGCACGGCAATTTAGACCTCACAAATTCAGATTTAGGACTATTTAATGCAGGGGTGTCAAACTCATTTAATCATATGGGCGACATGCAAGATAAATCCATAATTACCTTAAAATAACATCCGCTCCAATTCTTTCCCCTTTCTTGTATAAAGAAGTTCAAGTACATTCTGCAGACGTTCATCCTTTTATAAAACAGATGAACAGCCTGAGATGTGTGAAGAAAAATAAGTGTAATCACTCAGTCAGTACATGTGCATTTATCCATACATTTTTTGTTTTTTAGCAATGGGGTTCTCCCAGCATTATTTTAAGTTAGAAGTCTGGCACAAAATCTTTTGGACTGATTTTGCAGCCTTAGTAGAAAATTAAGTTCTTAGAATTAAAGAGTTGAGAAAAGTCAGAATGAGAACAACAAACAAAAATTAAATCAATCTGACGGGTGTTCTGAGTCCGCTGATTCAGCCGTCATGCTGGTAAAATAAAATCGACACAAGTGACCAGTTAAATGAACACAGTTTTCTGGTTTTCTAAGAGCGGCGTGCTCACTGATACGGCTTCGAAAATGTTTGACTTTTCTTTCATTGTTATTTTGCGTCATGCTTTCGTTCAGGCGACAGTCAGAGTTTGAGATGCACTTCTACATTGGTATCATGGTACGAAGATTTATAAATAAAGTGGCCTGTTCAGTTGACAACCTCATCATGTGTCGGAGGCTTGAGGTTGAAAACCGACACCTTGTTTTGTCTTAGCAGTTGTCGGACTGGCAGTCTGAGATAACAAGACTGGGCATCACAGACGGAGGATGACCCAGTGAGGAGCGGTTTGTTTTAAATCTGAGCTGCTTTTCAAAAACAACCCTTTCAACACTTTTTTTTCCTCCTCAGAATCTGTCTATTTGTATTCTCGCCTGCCTCCAAAGCTTTATGACAATGGTTGTAACCTCCTCAATCAAAACAAGGTTTACGTGTAGTGTATGAAGTGGCGTCTATTGAAAAAAGGGGAAATAATAACACCTAATAGTCAGTCTGTCAGATGTGCCCATCTGCTGTAAAGGAAACAAAAATAAATGTAACAAGATTTGAATATCTAACATTTGAGGCTGACGCAGGGAGGAAGGATCAAAGGGAAGAGAGACACACCAGAGGGGGGCAATCATAAACA